TTCAGGAAAAGGAGGAAGGTTCCCTGACTTTACCAGCCATTCACAAAATGTGCGAATTGGCCCCACATGCTTCAAAACTGTGGCTGGGGATTTGCCAGCCAGAATCGCCTGCAATGAGTCCTGACCAGTCTCTGTATCATCTTCCATGAGAGTACACAAGTCAAAGAAACTAGCAAAGGATTGGAGCAAGAGCAAAACCTTCTGATAAGCTTCGTGCTGACGGTCTCGCGAGCTCGCTCCCCGACGGGCCTTAACTGCACGAGTCCAGGCCTGGCAATGCGACGTTGCTGTATCTGCTATACTTGTCGAAGACTGCGTGCCAGCTGTTAAGGCAGTCATCGGTTGTGTTCTCCCGCCCTGGTAAGGCACGCCCAACCCTTGAGGGAACATCGCCTTCATCGGGTCAAAAATGCACAACATGCTAGGCTGTTCCCAAGGCTGGCTGGGCAAAGCTGATCGTGCATGGATCTGGTTACGAAAGAACAATTCAGCCTCGCTGGAGCTGGGGTCTCGACCGGACATGACGAGGAATACCAATCAGCCAGTCCCCAGATGCTACATGAATACTGAGCCGATCCATCACAAAACAACAAAGTGAGTTATCCCTGCTGGCGCATTGGATGCATGTGCAGCGACACAACACTCACGTGTGCAAACACTCACATGTGCAAAATGAATTGTTTCCGATCTGCCTGATCGCTGCATCCTGTGCTGTTCATACTAAGGGTCCGGCTCACCCTGTCAGCGAGGCCACCCCACTGCTATGCCGCGAAGCACAACATGCTTGGGCGAGAGCAGAAAATGCTCACCCGAGCGTACCGAGCCCGAGTCTCGGCATGCCGAGTGGAGGTAATCGTGCCCACCTTCCACCTGAGGAGTGGGACCCGGGAGCTCAGCTTCCACCACCAACATAGCCCCTCCGAGGGACTTAGCCCGGCTCGCTGTCTTCTTCACAGCAGCCACCATGGAATCTTTCGAGTACCCCACGAGGGCACCCCGAGCAGAAAATCCATAAGCCGGGAAACCGTCTTCACGATTGTCCCCCACAGTGATTTCTCCACATTGGGCCACGCCAATCACCGAGGCAAAACTTGTGCCATGACACATCGTGGCCTGGTTGGCATAGTTGGGATCATGGACAAAGCTCGGCCCCTTGATGTTGCATCCCACGAACAAAACGTTCTGGCCCGGGACATCAAAAGTGAACATCTCCGGCCCAACCTTGTGGGCAAGATCACCATCGCCCTCCAAGGGACGTCCGTAATGCCGGAAGGCCCCCATAATCGTGGCCATTCTGCCAGCAACTGCATCAGGCACCGAAAGGTGGGACATATGGGGCTTGTACTCCGAGGCCTCGGCAAATTGGGCCGCGATCTTGTTCCACGGGTACTTCCACCAGGGCTCAAGCTGCCCCTTCTCGACCAACTCCCGTGCGCTGAGGGGTCGATCCGTGGCAGCCCAAGCTGCCGTGTTGGCCGACTCCCATAGGGCTTTGAGGTATTCCCCATCATCAGCTTCTTCATCTTCCAGGGAGAGCTCCTCTTGTCCTGCCTTATCGGCAGCTGCCTTTCGGGCTTCGGCCGCCTTGATTTCCTCAGGTGTGGCCTCCTTAACATCATAACTCGCAGCAGGCCTCTCCTGAGGCTTGCTTTGCTTCCAATTCTCACTCTGCCACTTGTTCCATGGCCGTTGGGGTTTCTTCCATTGAGACTGAGACTTCCAACTGTCTCTCCAACTGGAGGGTGTCTCTTGCACATTGCCCCCTGGTCCGATCAAGGCCGGTTGCTGCATCACCGGCACCTGTTGCCATACATGCCCTGGGCTTGCCATAGGCAACGCGGGTGGTGGTGGCATGGGCGGTGGCGCCGTTTCGCGGCGGGGTGGGGTGCTCCCACGGCTGCGTTCCGTCCTCCTGGACCCACGCCGACCCCTTGAACGATCTCTCGTTCGCTCTCTTGAGCGCGAGTCTGAGCTGCTACGGCGCCTACGGCGTCTGCCCCGGGAATCCGTCCCAAAAGGAGGCATCAAAGGCCATGGGTACATCTGACCCACCAGGCACCTGCCTTCGTGTCACAGGTTCCGTGCTCCTGCACAAAAATGCCCCGGCGAGTCTCGCCACGAACTAAGGTTTTGGGCCAAAGAAAAACAAATAATGCACGAACACTTGCTGCAATGACCACATCTGTGTCTACCACCGATACTCTGCGGTGCTGATCCTTCCTTTCCGTGTTGATACACGTCACGTGGCTGCACGGCCCTTCTCGGCCGGCCCTCTTGGGCTCTATACTTCTCATGAGAGCACTTCTGGCTCGAGCTTTCGGCTCAGAATCGAAAACACGACCTAGGTCGTGTGATCAAGCTTGCACAGAAAAACAAGTCCCAAAACGATTCTCCAACACTGCACTGCATCTCGATGCACATACGTCTGTCATTTGTCGTGAGGTTGCCAAACAAATGCACTTCTCCTCTAACCAAAACAACGTACCCAACACAAAGCCTCGACAACAGGCAACTAGGCCCGAGGCGAGATCTGCACCCGAATGTATCAAGCACTCTGAGCTCAGGGCCGCCAACATCGCAGACGCCACGATCCAACGGTATTACAGGTATCCTGATGTTAACCAGAACAACGTGAGTAAAAATGGTCTCTACAAGTGCTCGAACATATAAGGTTTGCCAGCATTCGGCCAAAGTCAAACCGATGCACTGTTTTCTCTTGCCCTTTCTGACAAGGTTTCGTCTATGGACAGTCACATCTGTCTCGAATTCACCAGTCATGGTGAGTACGGACCAGGCCTCCGGCCAGGCCTGACATGCCTCATGCGAATCGCTAACGATGGGAACTGAGGTGGAGGCATGGGCTCCCGGTTGTACATCCTGATCCCCGCGATCGTCAGGGACCACACCATCATGTCTGCATGAAGTCGGAATGACTCCTGAAGGTGCCTAAGTAAATCAAACTGCAGCTCAACCATGTGTCGCAAAGCGTGGATCGCCTGAAAGAGCTGTTCGACATCACAGCCAAGAACTGACGTTGATGTCTGTTGCTGACTCTGAAACGTCAAAAATGACTCGCGAGCCTTGCGAATGTCACCTTCCAAAGATGCAATGTGTTGTAAACATCGGCGAAGACGAGAATGATGTTCCATAATTTTCGTATCAATCTCCCACAAAGCAACTCTATCATATTCACAGAAACTGAAAGGACGATCTGCATGAGTCTCCACAGTGGAGTCTTCCATGGGATGATTTTCGTCAATATGACGGGCTAACGAATCCCTGAGGGCAGTCATAAGTACCAACCCCCTGAAGCACTTCGAGCCTCAAAGAAAAACACGAGGTGCAAAACACGTGTCCCTGCTCCACATAAAAACTGCGGAAAGAAATGAGCAGCACTCAGGGCCAGGCTCATACTGTCTCCAGCTCATGGAAAAAGAGCATGGAAAGCTGATCGAAAACGTCTCACGAACGACTCCAGCCAAGATAAGCGTGCATCACTTTGTTGAACACGTGCTTCCAACACACGCAAGCGACTGGATATGTCTTCAAGGGCTCGACTGAGTTCACCAAGTTCATCTTGATGCCTTTCACACATAGCATGCACATCAACCACATGCCGATGCACCAAACTGACTGTGCCAGTCCCACTAGAGGACGGTGTCTGGGGCTCCGAAGCTGCACCATCTGCCATGGCTCAAGCTAACCCCCCCTTTTTCGAAAACAATCTATCAGCTTCTAAGAGCACTTTCCGGGCATCCTGCCCTCTGAGAGGTCCCGCTGCGACGGGTGTATAAGTAAATACAAATCCTGCATGAACAAGCATAAAACTGATCAAGCGTTGGAAATAAGTTGTGCAAAAAGGCAAGCACTGAAACAACAAGCAAATGTTTTGTTCACCACAACATTTTGATGTTGTTTTGTTTCCCACGCGGCGAGGGCTCACGAAGTGTGAGACTCACCTAGCGTCCGCCCTATTGGGCATCCCGCAGCGAACTGCCTAGCAGACGCACCGCTGCATACTACATGACATGTCAGCGTGGAGAACCCAACAGCTGACGGCTATGTCTTCAGTTGAGACAATTACTGCGCACAGTAAGTTACAATGGGCTCCAGCGTGGATAGACCAACAGCTGTGCTCGAGGATTTAAAATCATGAAAGTCGGGCTGTTCGACTTGGCTTGCCCCTCAGAGCCGACCCTAGAGCTCAATCGTTGGTGCTGCATCAATGCTCCCGGTAGCATTTGACAGCCTGCGTAGGAAGAACACGTAGGATGTTGTTTGCACATCGTGCTCATCCGTGGCGGCACAGAATCGCACTATGTCATCATCTGCAATGAGGGTCGCACAGTCCTCCAACAGAAGTGCACGATAGTGCCCGCATTGTGGCGTGTGGCCTGCGTGCAGTGCAACAGCCGTGATCTGGTACGGTATATGGCGTGTTTGCAGGCTGTGCGTGTCACTCCATTGAGGAATTAGAATGGGCTTCCTGTCATAGTCCACTCGTATCTCGTTTTTGGAGGTCATCCCTCCGGCTGACACAGTGTATCTTAACAACTGGCAACAGAGCATGTCAGGTGCATCAACAAGTGCCCATTGCGTCGAATCACCAATATGGTGTTGTCGCAGACATGTGGTGATGTGGGTGGGTACATCTGGCACTGCAAGGGCTATTGGGGCACGTAGACAGCCTGAGTCCACAACCGTGAGGGCATCATGGATGTGTCGTCTCACCTCCCACCTGCCCCAGCCATAGGGCATGTTGCTGGTGCGGACAATGTGATGCAGAAATTCGGCAACATCATGCTGCATTTTTGGATTAGTCCATCCTTGCAGAATAGTCTGGATTGCAAGCATGTTGACTATCAGAACAGGTTGTGGCATGCCAAGCGCCGCCTTACCACTGGTTCCAAGCTTCCCCAGCATCCCAGGGCGTGAACCCGCCTGCTGCCATGTGTGAAGAAAGGCTTGAAAGACGGTATTTATGTAGCAGTAGTTGTGGTTCAGGGGATTTCGGAGTCTGAGCCTGGAGTCAAGATCATCTGGCGTACAGTGTCGGCCTCTCGGCTGTTCTTTTGCCGCTCTTTGTGAAGGTTTGCCCCGATGAGGTTCAGAGCCGACAGCCCGCTGAGCGCCACGAATGCCTGGTAGAGGCGTTGGCACTGTGCCCCCCGCAGACCCACAGATATTTTGAACGCCACTGAGCTTCCCTGCATCTCTTCCGTGAGCTTGCGTAGGGCCTTGAACTGGTGCAGCGCTTCTGGGTCCTGCTTTAGGGCTTCGTCCATTGTTGTCAGGAGCTGCTTGACATCCACGTGGGCCATCGGCTTCTTGGTGTCTTCGATCTCGGCCTTCTTGCTGTCTGGGTTCCAACGATTGTACGTCCACTGCAGCGGGTTCTCCGTCACCCACTTTTGCTTGACCGCCGCTCCGATGCTTTCCTGCGTTGCTTCGAACTTCTCCAGGCGAGCTGCTGTCTCTTTGAGAAGAAGGCGGAACAAGCAGGTTCGTAGGTTGCAGTCCGCCTTGCCCTGTTCGTAGAGCTCGTTCCACTTCATGGACGCCTGCACGATGGGGCCGAGAATCCCGTAAAAGGCTGTTTCCAAGTGCAGGATGAAGCCCTTCTCTTGCCGTAGTTCGCTGAGTTCCGCCTCCTGCCGGAGGCAGAGCCTGGCCATGGCCTCCATGGCTGGGCCCACTCCCGTGTAGCTGCTTTTTCCATGCCCCTTGTACCAGGTTCCATGGCGACTGCTGGACTTTTTGCCCTTTCCTTTGCCTTTCCCCTTCGTCTGCTGTGCTTCGCGAGGATCTGGGCGGGGACGTTTGGCAGGATGCTCCTCCATTTCCCTCAAGGTGGGCATGATCGGTCCTAGGATGGCCAGGACTTCCGAGGCCATGAGCAGCGAGGGTGCAGAACTGGAAAATAACAGGACAAACTGGGCCGTGTGTTTTGCCGTTGGCAAAGGTCTTGCGGCAGTACGGGCATTGTTTAGTGGCAGGCAGCAAAAAGGTTTTGCATTGGGACTCTATTTCCTCAGCAGGTATCCAGATGTCAGGGTGTGCTTTCTGCAGGTGCATCTTGAGAGAGCGAGGGTCATGCTGTTTTTGCCCGCAACCACAGCAGGAATCGCGCAGAAAGTCTGCTTCCTGACTGTTCGGAGTGCGACCTGTCGGCACTGGCAGCATGATGTGCGTGTTGTTGCCGTTTCGCAGTGTAAAGGGAAATCTGGGAACAGATTGCGTGCCATGGCCATCTGCAAGCCCAAGCAAATCCTCAAGTGATATATCGTCCTGATGGATATCCACATAGTCTTCTGAAAGTTGTGATTGCGGCGTCAGGGGGGCACCAACCAAGTCAGGCGTGAAGGCATCCACTTGCATGATGTCCGGCTCAATCGTGTTTTCTTGTGGCAAGATCACCGTTGCATCATCCTGTTCATCTTCCTGATCACCCGCAAGACACAAACATGGTTGAAGCTCACACCAGCATGTCTGAACATCCTGTGGGTTGTCTACCGTCACCAGGGCCTCATCGCAGAATAGATGTGCGGTATCATCATCTGAGCATTGCAGAGTGAGAGCTTGGGAGTTCTGTGAGCTCGTCGCTGGATTGTTGGCAGTGGACAGTCCACCAGTCTCTGCCACAAAATCATCCCACAACTCATCAATCGTATCCGGCGTGCCCGGAGCTTGCCCATTGTCGTGTGTTGAGGTCTCCATGTTCACCTCAGGCAGAGGCGTGAGCCAGCCTGGAACCAACCAGGCACATGTACAAGCATGCCACATCAGTTGTACAATCAGCGCTGTGAGTGCCAGGGCAGGACTGCATGTGTTCCACATCAGTCGAGTCATGAGGCAGCACTGTCTACAACGTCGAGGGGGGTCCCGGTTAAAAAGCGAGCCAGTTTGGGGCCACAGGCACGGTTGACCCTACACAAAAGAACCCCACTCAGGTTTGAGCCGATAAGCCTTATTTTTTGATGTTGTTTCCTTTGAACAATAAAGCTCTATCTTCTCCAGGCATTCGAAGAACGATACAGAGATCTTGATCCTGTGGCATCTTGAAGAGCACAGCGTATCCCAACTTTCACCGGGCCGCACACCTGAAACTCTACCGTCCATGCATCCATTGCAAAGAGAGCAAAGGGGAGGGGCGACCAAGCTACACGTATCGCGAGGCGATAAGTTGAGTAGACAAGTCGAGCGTCAACCGCATACCAAGACTCAGGAAGGGCCCGTCCGGCGTCAGGTCAGCGGGACCTGCGTGGCAAGTCAAACAAGGCTCAGGGAAACACGGCCATGGGCAATCTCACGAGGCTCAGGGAGATTCAGTCCTGCATCAGGTCAGAAGGCCGGAGACCACTACCCGTGCCCTAGAGGTTTAGAGATACGGCCAAGCCACATGTGAACCAAGCATTTGGTCCAGTGGACCCGGCGGGCGCCAACCGTATACCAAGATTTAGTGAGAGCACGCCAGGCGTTCGGTCCACTAGCCACCCAACACAGGCCCAAGGAGAGCAAGCCATGCATCAGGTCAAGAGACCCGCACGCTATTCGTCGGGTCAGGAGACCCGGCGAGCGTCGCCCGGAAACTAAGGACTCAGACGTACGGGCGCCCAGATCATCCAGGAGACCCGGCGACCACCTAACCAAACCAATTGTTCACGAACCTCGGGCGCTTCTAACGGGCGCACTTACAGCGACACCAGCCACCACACAAGGTAACCGGAAACAGCAGCCACCACTGCTGTGACGAAAGCAACAGCCACCACAGCTGTGCCAACAAGACCTCCAAAATAGCAGCCGCCACAGTTGTGCAAACCAAAACCACAAACCTCCCCACTTAACCGCGGAGAGCATCTTGGCAGCGAAGAACCAACTGCCCAGCAGGGGCAGTAGGGAAAGCTGAGTCAGGGGAGTCAGCGGCCGAGGGCCCACAGACAGGGCACAGGATCCAAGCGGGCCCTGTCATTGCACCACACCACACTTGGTGAGTTATTGCAGGGGCGTGCAAGACCAGGTTCAAAGTCTTGTCACGACAGACAGGGTGACTGCTGGGAAGTGGGTCGTGAGCGTCAGCGGGCAAGGCAGACGTCATGGCCCTAGACCACATGAGCTTCTTAGGGTAAGGCGCAGGCACACTGACCGTTTCGCACGCGACACGAGCCCAGCAGCTGCCACGTGTGGGAGGCGGCACAGGCCTCAGCATATGTTGTGCAAGTCACGCCCCCAGGGCCTTCATTGGGATATCGGATAGCTACGCGGCCCCAGCCACGCGCAAGGAGCCAGTCATACATCACACAGAATGCAGGAGCAAAAGATGACTCGTCTGAAAGGCCAGGACCAGTGACCCAGCGTCCGTCGCGGACCATAAAGCAAGGACTATTGGCTGGCGGCAGCCCAAGCACGTGACCACGCGAGATGAGCCAAAGTGCATTTCCGTTCAGGTACCACACGGAGAGGAGGTGCATAGGCTCAGAGGCCAGGGCAGCATCTGACCGACAAAGGACAGGGGATTGGGTGCAACAAGCCCGGGGCTCACCTGAGCCATGCTGCTGCACCCCTGGGGTGCAGCAAGCCTGTGACCTTGCTTGAGCCATGCTGCACCACACACGGAACATACCCAACACCGTGGCGTGAACAGGCGAGGGAATTGCTTACATAACTCAAGGAGTGATCATCGAAAGGGAAAGCCCTTGGTGTACTGGCCTCAAGAGGTAGGCCTAAGGCAGTCTCCGAGCGGCACTTAACCACGGAATGATGGGTACCAGCACTACACGCGCCCACCAGGGCCAGGTGGCACAACACTTCCGCACATGTACGCAAAGCCTGCAGGAGGAGCACTGGAGCAGAGCATGGGGATTCACACAGCACAGGGCAACCGAGCAAAACACGGAAGCACCGCAAATGAACCCTGTAGGGTTGATTGCAATGCCGTTGGAGCACTACTGCTGCCCCGCGGGCAACATCATTCGCGGCCGCGGATGCGACCATCCAGCAAGACCATGTATGGGTGAGCGTCTTGCCAGGATTAGTTGCGTCACTTGGCGGATGGCTCGTCATCCCTGAACTGGGAAGCTTGGCTGTAGGCAGGGACTAGCACTGGGTGCACGAAGGGAATTGGCAGCATGGCTGCAAAACAATGGTATTCTGCTTGGTTCCACACCGGACAAACTGGCCACTGGTGCAGGAAGGCGGACCTGAGTTTGGAAGGCTTGGGCGGTGCGCCAAACATTGCTTCCGTCACAAGGGTCTTCAGGCGGACGATGAGCACGTTGACCAGGATGCCACGGTCGCCTCGAACACAACAGACAAGGCATGCACTACCACTATAGACAGCATGGCACTGTTTTTCAAACCACATGACTCTACAGGCATGATTCCTCAAGGAGGCTACCAAACATCACAAGCAGTAAGTGTTTACAGAAAGTCATGCGCTCATGATCATGGCTTTGAGCCTGCATCCTTGCATAAGCATCAATAGTCCAATGGACACATCTGGCACCATGGCCATGTTGTATGACAGCCCCTTGGCTCATACAAAGGCACCATGTGCCACTTCATGAGACCCTCATAGCCCCTTGGCTGAGCAGACATTGCTCGTCTCATGCAATTGTAACATACAATACATGTGTGAGCGCAAGCTCATGTCTTTTCTTGCTTTGCAAACCGCATCCTCATCATTAGTCCGGATCAGCCTTGCTTTCAAGGCAACATCGCGACTTCCATCTGATATGGGTTGCAGATATTGCAAAACACATTTGCAACGCGCCCGCATCACCAGCTTGGCTTTGCCGGTGTTTCGAGGCCACATCAGGACGACCATCGGATATGGGTTGCAGACAGTGCAAAACACATGTGCAATGTGCACGGCTCATGAACAAGGCCCCGTAACGTGATCGCGCGTCAAAGCGGAAAGACAACTGCGGGCATTGAAGTTATGAGCACGGAGAAACATTTGGAGCCGCTCACTAGCGGTGTTAGGAGGGCCCAGTATGAAGCCATTTTACGTGGCCCCAAAAGGATCGCCTGGGGCACCGGGATGCAGCAATTGGCATCAAGGATGATGAGGGTGAAATCCTCTCCCACCAAGCTGTTGCGCACCTGCTGCAAGGAAACCTCATCATGGAAGTTGAAACCTGGTGGGACCCTGAAGCCCCACTGTTTCTGTCCAAGGTCCCGGCACTTGATGCCAGCAAGGGTGGCCTGAAGCACAACTCGACAACATTGGAGAGCCAGAGAAGTGCATGCTGCGGGAGGCAGAGCTGGGCCCTCCAACAAAGCGGTCAACGGGATCGCGCGTTCCGCAACAACATAATGCGCCTGGCACAAACCTTTCTCTCCAAGGGACACCCAAATGGAGCCGCTGTCGAAGATGCGAGCAAAGGCCGCAGGACACGCAGTAGCGCTTCGAACTTCATTGACATTGTCGGCGTCACATCCAGCGAGCTTTAACACCAGGTTGGCAGCTGGCTCCTCACCCTTCAGATGGTACACCTTCCGGAACCCACCTTTGAGCTCGGGCGCCCTGCTCGAGCCCAAAACCGACAAATTTCGCCCATCCACATCCAGGGCGAGACGAAGGTCATCCGGGAACATGTCTTTGCCTGTCAAGAATCCTGATGCACGCAGGAGCTTTATTGAGGGCCACGCCTTTGCCTCACTGGGCATTGGACCTTGATTGGCCTCTTGACTGGGGGCAGGAGAAATGGCGGGACCACTGCGCTGATTGGCCAAGCAATTTCCGCAAATGTCAAAGTCGCAGACCCTGCATCCCCAAAGCAAGCGCCGCGTGGCGAACTCCCTCTTGCACACGCTGCACCACCTATTTGGCTCAGGCGACCCAAAGGAAAGCAACGGATGACCTGAAGGACACGTGGGCCGGGCATCAAGTCTGGCCAGAAATGCCTCCGCATTCTCCGGAGTGAGCGTGACTCCCTCGCCAGATGTGGCTGAGTCACTTGAGCGGCTGACGTCTTCGGGCTCAAGTCTCTTCCGCTTCGGGGTTGGCGGACGAGGAGGCAGTGGCCGACCACCGGGCAGCAGGGCTTCAGATGTGCCGCACACGCTTTCCAGAACCAAGGCTTCAGCTTCCCCAGCACAAGGGGAAGCTGTGGCCTGCTTGGGGAAGCATTCGGTCCGCCGGGGAATTGAGCCTGGACCGGTAAAGACAGGCCGCGAACTCATGGGGGCTACCACTTGCTGCACTCTATGCGTTGACACCTTCATGGGCACATCAAGGACACCTGCTGACCCCATGAAAACCCGCCTTGGCCCTGGTCGGACCCCGTCACGCATGGTGCCAGTGGGCACACCTTGAACGGAAGTCCCCGACACAGCTGGACTTTTGTGCGAAGAGCACTTTGAGTTGAGCCCACTGGTTTGGGACGGGCGAAGGGATGGCGCACTGCTGGTACCAGCAGGGACCTCGAGCCGCGAGTGGGTAGCCTGCTTTGCGGACGTGACATGACCACAAGGGGAAAGGCCTTTGGGCTCCGGGCTGGTCCTACCAGCATTTGAAACAGCAGTTTTGGCTTCAACCCCAGAGTCATTGGTCCGAGGGCTGCAGGTATCAGGAGCTGGCTTGCCATGGGCATCATGACTCATATTGAAGTCCAGCTGTACCTCTGGATACGGCACACCCACAGTTTCAGCATCCGAACTACTCGGCGTAGAGCTACCCTCCTCCTGCAGGTGATCATGTTGTCTGGCGACATAAACCGATGGGACGCTTCGGCCAACAAGATCGGGCTCAACACCATGGGGCTCCCCATCCTTCGCAGGCATCGAGCTTGAGGAAGCTTCAGAAACACCAGGACAAGTGGGTGATGTGTCCCTCGCAACGCCAGTAT